AATTATATAAATTATGAATAAATACAATTAAAAATTTATGCATTAAGCATACGAGTATGTAATATAACAAACAATTGTAATATTGTAATCTATTATTATGAAAAAGTTTACAAATAAAAACAAACAACAAGAAAATTACAAAAAAAAAAAGTCCCCAAAAAAATGCACGAAATATTTTCCATTTCAGATTCGATTGAAAAACTTGAAGTTGAGTTGAAGTTGAAAACAATTCCATGATAGATTGATTGAGAAAACAATTGTGAATTGTTTATTCACCATTCAGGTTGATTCACAGATTGGCTGATTAGCTATAGACTAGCTTATAGACTGGGTTGACTGACTAATAAATGGGCTGATTGATTAAATGCCTAGAAAAAGCGAAAACTGATTGAAACAATGGTGCAGAGCTTATTATTTATATCGAACGTTGATTGGCTGACTGATTGATTGACTCAACGGCTTACAAACCAACTATATAAATAATACTAATTGAGCTGTTCTGTTTATTAGGTCTATATAGTTAGAGATTTCTATAGAAAATCGCAGCAAATAGGAGAGACCGAGCAACGCCTGGTAACAAGAAAGATATATATGTATGTGTGACTGCTCTTTCCACTCTTTTCTTACAAGTCAATCTCATCCTATATATACATATTCTCGATCCAGTTAATGAGCCAGAGAGCTAGTTATTCGATCTTTCGTCAGCTATAGAAAGATGAGATATAGCTTCTTCGTCGCCGCTGGACCGTATTTGTTTATGTTTGATTGACTGACGACGCTACGACGACAATTGGGCACCGCCGTCTAGGCTGGGGACACTACCTGAGACACATGTTTGTCAATTAAACGAAAACAAACTTTAGCTTCAGATTTGGTAAACAGCAGAATCAACTTTTCATATGAATCAACTTTACAATCGCATGTTTATTTTATTGGCACTCGAAATCTTCCATTATTTGTTGATAAAAACGAAAAGCTACGTACAGCTAAGCAGCTTACTGGAAATGAAAATACTATATCTTCAGCTCTGTTATAGTAGATTCCATTTCAATGCAATACGATTTACGAATCAGGCCACATTTTGAGGTAATACGAAATATAGAATATTAAGTTGCTTGTAAATTTATAGGTAAAATGGATTAGCTGGAATTTTTCATCAACTAACTTATATATCAGACTGTATTCATGCAATTCAGTTTTTTATCTACCCATTCACATGGGTTCTATATCTTAATTGCATTCTGTCTACATCTGTAATTGATCTCAATCATCTGCCCTATATCTATCTAAAATTAGAGATCATTCTATGAATCTATCTTTTAATCCTATATCTGTCTATATAAGTACTACTTTATTATTCTATATATATCTCGTATTACAGATCATTCTATGAATCTATCTTTTAATCCTATAACTGTCTTTATAACTACTATACCCCATCTACTTATTATCCTATATCTATCCAAAATTAGAGATCATTCTATGAATCTATCTTTCAGTCCTATATCTGTCTATATAAGTACTACGCCCCATGTACTTTATTATCCTATATATATCTCGTATTACAGATCATTCTAAGAATCTATCTTTCAACCCTATATCTGTCTACTTTATTAT